GCTGATCAGAAAACTTATCGCTTAAAGCGTAAGAGCACCATCAACTTGACTTTCTCCTCCGATAAATAAATATCCCCGCCTCACAACAGAAAACATATGATACTTTCATTCAAAAGAATGATCTCCCACTTGGCTACCCCATCAATAGCATCATAAACACATTCCAATTAACGCAACAACAATAAGTCAATCCTGGAAGCCGCCGTTATGTGTACAGGATCGCCGACTACCGGTCAGAGTGTAAGCAAACTGCAGTCACCGAAACTTGGCAGCAGACAAACACCTTCCTCCACAGGTAGTAGCTAGAGATCATCAACACGTAAATATACCAATGAGCGTATAAGAAGTTATTGCAACTTGACTACTTAATCCTTCCTACGATAAGAAGTACCCTCAGTGAGACGAGCGCGACCACCAGTGGGCTGGCAGAGCATCACGTTGCAGTTACCGCAAAGGACGACAGTCTGAGCGTGCCTGAACATGAGATGATGTGTGCATGGACAAACAAGGAATGACGAAATGACAACATAACGAAATGACATCAAGGAATGGTCATATGAAAAAGATTAAGAAGAGGATGAAACCATTCCAGTTGTTGATATTACGAGAAGACGGTAGTGATCTGGGAGCAACCAGGGCACTTGACATCCATGAAGTAGGAGTTAGGGGATTGTACCAAGCGCTTCAGCTTATGCTTAGACTTCTCAAGTTCGGGATCGGGATGGAGGAGATCGACGTTCATGGTAACAATATGGCGGACTACTTCAGCAACAGCATCACTCAACATACTCTACATACCAATTATTTCACGCCTTCCAATTTAATGTCAAGGAGCTGATAAACTACACCGCGAGGCACAGTCTCTACCGCGGGTGCTCATCCCGCATCAGGGGGGAGGGAGAGAGAAGGTAGTGCCCTGATCGATTTTCGCTATGGCACCTGCGTACGCCCAGGTGATCGATTAATCCCGTCGGCAGAGATCTTTGAATATTTGCCATCTGTGATGAATCCCTTCTACTTCTTATCGCGATTGATGGGGAGAGAGATGGAGGAGAGCCTCAGACGATTCTTGGTGGATTCACCGGCATTCCAGTACTTCGCGCATCAGTCGAGCAAAAAGGCGACACTCGCTGCGGACAAACTAGGTAGTGAAGGGTTCCGAATGGATTCTCACGTGAATCTGTCGATATCCAACCTTCGTAGGAATCCCCCACGGGGTGATGTAAATCGTACTTGCGAAGTGTATGCCTCTTCCCTAGTCTCACAACATGTGTGGTCCCTGTGATCAGGCCGAACTCTGGGAGGGTTAGCCGGCACGGCAGCCAGAGCTGGTGAACGGCAAGTACCGAAAGAGTTCATTGAAAAACGGCAAACACGTCGATGAGCTTTGATTCCATCTTCCCTGATGGTCGTTTTGTAATACTTTGTGTCAACAGAGACAGTAGTGTGCATTGCGTTATTGGGGCTGATGTAATCCTGTTAACCTTCTAGGGTTAGCGAACGATGTTGTTGCCTCTCGCTGATCAGTCAATGGACGTGTGGTTCGTGGGAAGCGCAGTGCTAGGACATAGTCTTCATGTTGTTACTATTGATCTTATCCTCCGAAGCCAATTCGGTGAATGTAAATTTCCGATGATCATCAGATGATGCCGATTTAGAATTTCCGCATAATGTATATAGGTGAACGTTGTCCATTGATAATGGTTAATAGGATCGGTACTAACTCTCGGACAGCTAATTCTCTGTGGCCGTTTTACCTCATCTTCTGTTTTGCGAGTTTTGAATACAGTGGCAGTATGGCTTCCGTTTCCGTGGTAAGCTGTCCCCCTGCGACTACTGTTCGGTTGCCCTCTTTAGGTCTAGGCAAATGTCTAGGGCGTGATAGATCTGCCGTAATGCAGTTAGTAGCGGAGGTCCCTCGATTTGGGACGACGTTGGTAAAGGTGGGTGCATCAAGCTAGGCAGGATCGAGTTATGATTGCCCTTTTCACTGCATCGAACATTAAAGAACTCTGGTAACTCCTCTCTGGCCGTGGCATTCAGGGCAATAGGAAGGAGGAGTTGTCTTATAATGGAGGAAAGTCCTCGAATGTTCGTTTGACCCCGTTCGACTACCATGGTCCGATATCCCATTCGTGGGAAACATCACGCGACATCGGACTTGCAGCACACGAAGTCCCTTGAATATTTGGGGTAGGTCCCTTTAGAGTACAACGCCTCGGGTACTGCGTCACGAGATCGTTCCCAGGTGGTCACGTATTATCCTGGGATTCGCTCGAAAATCAGCCCCTATGGATTTGAGGACAAAGGGGCTCTCTTATTCTGTGCACGTGAACGTAGCAAGTGTGTCCAAGTACTGTACGTTCGGTCACACAAGGCAGAAGCTGAGATCGAACACCAGTCATAAGTCATGCTTTATGAGTGAATGCAGATTGATGAAATCTCAGTATGGGTCAGGTCGCGACTCTCAGGATGAGGTTATCGTCCATCATGAGAGCAATGCTCCTCCCGTCTTACACAGAGGCCAAGCGTGGCATCAATACCTGTGGTACTAGGATGTTCGTCCTCCCCTCCTCGCTTCCGAACCTATCGGGGAGTAGTTCAATGGGATGTTACATGACCCCTAACCGTGGGGGCCACATGATCAAGGAGAAGACGTATAATCAGTTATTTGGTGGGGTCCTCTAGGCCGCTATTTCACACGTATCAACGGTAGCGTCATTCGTGTTGTGTCTTTATCATCATATCAATCAACCTCGCGATTAACTCTCATTAGCTTGTCATTACACTGTATTCTAGCTAGGGGTGTTGTCAAGAGCGGCAATACTGTTCACTACTTTAGACCTAGGAAGTGTGGATAAATTTACAGTAGCCACGTTTGAGCGATCTACATTATTGCTGAAATGAGTGTGAGCTATACTCCAATATCCACTAGAGTGATGTATCATACAATGAGGTAAGATCATCCTAGCAATACTGGAGTGGGAGTAGTGTAGTGTTTCGCAACTTGAAGCTGATATGAACATCTCTCGGACTACCTTTCCGAATCTCTTCCACAGCACTAGTACCATAAGAGAGTACATTGCGGAGCATTGTGCAGGCTGACTGTTGGAATTACCCAGATCATAATTGGAGATCATGGGGCTCACATGATGTGGGCGTTCTGAGTCTTATCGTTTATGAGATAAATTTGGTGGAAGCAAGTATACACATACACACCACACGACACCGCCATAAGACTTGACGTCTTATGGCAACTTATAGCCATAATGGAAGCTAACATCCTGAGCAGCATTACTGTGTAATTAGTGGGATCCTTGCTAGGCAATGTATTCCAATAGCAACAGGTGGGGAGAGAAAAGCTGGTATACGCGTCTTGAGAGGAGAAACTCAATTCAGGTCTTGATCTTGAGGAGCGAATGACTAGTGATTAATAAGCGCGAGAATTGTTCCTAGTAGTTGCAGCAGTTCACAGACGGGCTTCAGCTGCTACGAAAGATCCATACTCATCCTATCAGTGTTGGTGGCACAGTGTATCTGTGTGAACAATGATTGCTTCCATGGTGAGTGCATTTCCAAATGTTTAGGTTGATTAATCACAGCCTAGAACTTATTATTCTCGCTGGTATCTGATTTCAGTCGTGAATATAGACACATCTTTTCAAATTGCAGTGCCCACACTTCAGCTATCAGAGTTTATCATCACTAGAAGTATTCTTCTCAGTTGTCTACCACGACACAATTTTTGTGTGCCTAGCTCCCAAGTGGCTCTTGTTCTTTCTTTCTGCTCGAATCTGTTGTGAGTCACGGATTGTGACCATGCCGTATGTTTTTTAAGAGGGTTACTGTTGGCGTCCACTGGCATGTTCAAAGTTCTGTTATTTCCGCGTTGGAGTTTGCATTTGATTTTTAGGCTTTGAGTTGACGATCTCTTGGGTGATTTTCACTGCCATTAGCAATAAATCTGAAGTTGTAAATGGGTTGCAGCTCAAGTAAAGTTCCGATTGAGACGACTGTGTCGGATCCTGTGCCATCTGATGCTGCGTCATCGCCTACAACTGCATCACCTCCTGCAGTTCATGCGAAAAGTAAGCATATCAATTCTACCAATGACAGAGGAATAGGAGAAGCAGGAGCTGACATGATGGGATCGGCAGCCGTGGCCAATACTAGTAAGACAGGTGGCAACAACCAAAACGAGGAGGGATCTGTTATGGAAGAGACTCGTAATAGCCATCTCTGCGGGTTTCATTTGGTCTCAATCGATGTCAGGTATGGATCAATCAGTTACCACAGCTTCCCCTGTCACAATTCCTCTGGAAGTCAATAACCTCGGAGCAGGAATGACGAGTGCGAGTGATGATCGCTCTCGCCGTCTAGACCAGGAACGACGGGGTCATCGTGGTCAGCAGCATGACCGTGACTCTGCATCCTCATTTTCGTCTTCTTTCGAATCTGCTGGTGGCGCTCTAACTGGTGGGTCTGCACCTCATTCTCGTAATGGGCAGTCGAGAGAGGATCCTGGTAGCACAGGTAGTGAGAGTATCACTATACCAGTTATGACGGCACCCTGGGATCTAAAGAGGAGTGAGCGTTATCGCCATGGTAGATTGTATTTAACCCGGTCCAACCGTAGTCTCTATTCTATGAATAGTAATGAGGATATGAGCGTGGCAGGATATGGCGGTAATATGTCCAATCTGAGTCGTGGAAGGTCGGCTGCCGATGTGGGTTCAGTCTACTCGGCGGCTCCAAGTATGTACAGAGGTCGCCGTAGTCTCAGAGCATCTTCATCGGCCTACTCAGCTAGAGGATTCTCTCCAGCAGCTCCTAGCTCTGCATCAGTCGCTTCCCTCTTCACTACCGGTATGGGTCATGGTCCTACAAGTGTTTACCCCTTGGCTAACGGCTATTCGAGACATAGGTTTCCAGTCTCTGCAGCTGCACAAACGCGAGGTCGGCGTAGTGTAGTCGTTGGTACATCCTATTAGAATCGTGGTATATCAGTAGTCTACTGATGGTTGGGTATATCCTTTACCCATTCTACCTCTGGGGTCGAGGCTGCTGTAGTGACGGATGCTGCTTCTCTGCTTGTTTTACTTTCTCTATGTTCAATTCTTGGAAGATCAGCTTCTGTAAGGCTCGTCTTTCGAAACACCCATCGCTCTCTCGACTAACATATTTCTTCTATGGCTATAATACCCTCATAGTAACCAGAATTCAACCGCTAAGCTTTGGCGGTTATATCTCGAACCCTACGCATATGAATGTGATTGCTGTGAGGTCCTGACCTCCATCATAACTGCCGTCTAGTGGAGAAGTGGCTCAGGCAGTTGGAGCTCAGCTCTATCGCGCATGACATCTCCATTCGTGCCGCTATTATCTATTATCTCGTCGGTGTTGTCTCCTCACCGTGACCGGTAGCGATTATTTCTCACAACTCCTAGTCTTGCTAGCGTGTATCTTCTATTGTCATTGGTTGTTTCTTTATCTTTCGCCCGGTATAGTACTATCGCTCTGAGCGGCCGATGATTATTTGTGCGGATGCTTTTCCGGTTGATGCTCGCTGTAATGCTACCATATCGTCTGGTCAATCATCCGAAGTCTTGCTCTCGGACCCAAGTTATGGCTTATAATGGTTTGCTACAGTAAACTTCAAGTCTCGAATGAGGAGACGCAATTTTGAGTCTCGATAATATCGCCGTTAGATTGACCATGTATTATAAATAGTTGCAGGGCATGTGGGTTCATTGGGTACTATCTTCGGTGTGAGTAAGAGTGGTAGAGATCGTTATACATTCGGTCACTGCCGGTGAGATGATCTTCTGGTGACAACACGCTGTCGTCCCACATCCTATTTTTATTCCTACTGTTTACCAATGTATATAATTCGTAAGCTCGTACCAAACTGATGCCTCGTTCTCTTTGTAATATCTTCGTTTCTTGATTTGCGACGGTTGACTATGCTCTTGATATCATAAAATCGCTGATATGGGTTCTGATTGTTGGTCTATATGTAGCTGTTTGCTCAAATGGTAGTGGTCAACCATGCAGGTATGTATGGTTACTCGATGGTATCTGGTTGCTACTGGTTCTACATTCCCGAATGACTGAGTGGGCTACTATATGTATTATGCGCAGAAATCAAGCTATCAGCCGCCTCCTCCGTTGATTGCGTTTGTATGCCAAAACCGAGAACGTTATGATTGGGGGTCTTGCTCTCATAGAGAGTGTGTCCTAGATTGTCGATGTCTCATCGGCCAGCCTTTACTAGTTTCCTGTGCATATCGTTGGTTGATTAGGATCTAATCATTAGGTTAAGTTGTAGGTGAACCAAATCTTTGTGTATGTTACTCATAGTGTAGTTGAGATCATGTGATAGATATTATTGATAATACCGCTAAGAGTTGAGGTGTTGAAGTCTCCTGTTACTGGCAGAGAGCTAATGTAAGCTGCCAATCGGGGTTTGCAATTGTTGGGTCCAACGGCTTCATTCGGTTGTTGCTGTTGTTGTTGATGTTGTAAATCTCAACTGGTCGCCGACCATTGGTCAGTGTGATTGCTGGTCTTGCTGCTATGCTAACCCGCTTGAGAAAGGACCGTCAAGTGGGTATCGCACTATCCGAATCTGTGTGATGGTTGTTGAGTTTTTTCCTCTTCGAAATATATTGTTCTTCCTGCCACCACTAATGTGACTCTATGGTGACGATGCCGATTTGCGTTCATCAATTGGCATCGCAATGCCACTGGGGTTATCCCAGTAACATTCTGGAATGCATTCTGCGTACGCGGGCGATTCTCGGGTGATGCAGACTCTTGCTAGTCCTCTCAGCCCCCTCCGCAACGTTTCCGAAAGTCTACTTCTGATCGGGTAGTTTGGCTGACAATTGATAGCGTAGTCGCGTTTGCCGTGCTTAGTCCTTGCACAGGTGAAGTGGGAAATAGAATTGGGGATTTAGGTGCATGGGCATGAAGAGGGTCGTCATTGGCATTCACCTTTCGGCTGCAACCTAGCGAGAGGACCTGACGTTCACCTTAAACCAGATATGTGGTTATGGCGTTCCATATAGGTTGAAATGATGATCGTGTTGGTCATAGTGTGTACCCGCTGGGTTGCGACTTACATCACTACGAAATTCGTGGTACGAATCTCTCAAGAGTAGGGGAGGGAGTGAGTACAGTACTCACTTCCTCTAACTTCTTGAGTAACTTGGGATACCGAGCAACCCAAAACCCGAGACTATACTCACAACGAGGAATTTGTTTGACCTGAGTGCTATCGGGCCATGTTAATGATGGCGTTTCAAATATCTCAAAACATTGCCTAGTCGTATCGCACAAGACCTTACGTCGCGCTATCCTATCATGGAAAAATGACAGTATGGTGTCTGCATGGAACCTATCTTGAAGCTACGGGGAGGAGCATTGATACAGACTGAGCTATCGGTCATCAAGGGAGCAGAGGTTATTGAACTGGCGAGAAGGCGTCGGCTGTATCGGGTTGCTATGGGAAAGGTCGTTAGATCGGATCCTTATTAGAGTATCTTATATCTTAACACAGTCACCACTACCTGAGGTAGTAGTTGCTAGTGGTAGTCACGATAGTGTAATGGTTAGAGTAGTTTACGCAACCAACACGACCGCAATTCCAAACTATATATATCACCGTAGCCGTTTGGCTCAAGGTAAATATCAGGTCCTCTCACTCGACTGCAACCGAAAGGTGAATGTCAGTGATGACCCTTTTTCATGGCTACTCACCTCCCAACACCATTTCGAATTCTATTCCCCACGCCCCATGGACAAGGTTGTTCGCCGTGAACTTATTAGCCAGCTGAAACGACCAGCATGCCTAGCTTGGCGAAGATCAGTCAAACCCCGCGTTCAACCTGATGCGCTCGGAAACATTGCGCAGGGGTCGGAAGGGGCCAATAAAAACCTGCATCATCCGAGAATCGAACTCGGGTCACAACGATGGCAACGTTGTATTCTACCACTAGACCAATGATGCGAACCGGTGAAGTAATTTCTCCCTCTCCCGCTCTCAAGATCGACTGTGAATCTATTGACTGAACACTAAAATTGTAGAATGCATCAAGTTGATTCCATAGATTCAACCCTTTAATAAGTGAATTCCGATGCGGGGACTCGAACCCCGGTCGCGTGGGTGAAAACCACGAATCCTAACCAGCTAGACTACATCGGAACTTCCGCACTCCAGCAGACCGTGGGTTCGATCCTCCCAAGCTCCATTGGATCGAATAATCGTCGCTAGCTAGAATTTAGCAGGACCGATTGACCACCGTGCAATTGGCCACCCGTGTGTCACCCAAAAACTCATTTTGACCCGCTTGACTTGTTGATCCTCCCCCAATCCCTTACTTTAGATGCAATGAGTTAAGGACAAGATAACGGTGACTCCGTCCCGAAAATGGTGAAGAAAAGTTATCCAATAACCTTTTCTATTCACGGTTATCCTGTGTCACCAATCACCACCAATTGCTTGTATGATAATACCATCAATTTCGGAAATAACCGCAAATGAGATGTATACGGAGTGATGCCTTTACACTGGCTCCAGCATTGGACTGATTACTGTGGTGACGAACATCTGGGAGGGGCTCAAGGTGCGGAAACCTCAGACTGGGAGCGTGCGCAGTTAACGTCTCCAATGAGTATTACGACGAGTTGGAAGAAACAGAGGACGCACAGATCGGAGTGTGAATATCGACAGTTCAAGCGAGTCATCAATCAGAAGGGATGGGGAGAAATGCGGCGAGGGGGAATCGAATGCGCGTGAGAATCACTGATTCGCACTTAGACCGAGGATTCTCTCGTTACAAGTACGGATTGCCTTTAAGCTGCTCAGTATTCTAAGCACTGTCTATTCCTTCAGCTGATGAGAGGCTCCTAGTAATGGAAATCGCTACCCAGCGGGTACACACCATGATCATACGAAGCACAGGTTAGGACTCGGAATCAAGTGGCGCCGCAGGAAGTTTACGCAACCAACACGACCGCAATTCCAAACTATATATATCACCGTAGCCGTTTGGCTCAAGGTAAATATCAGGTCCTCTCACTCGACTGCAACCGAAAGGTGAATGTCAGTGATGACCCTTGTTTATGGCTACTCACCTCTCAACACCATTTCGAATTCTATTCCCCACGCCCCATGGACAAGGTTGTTCGCCGTGAACTTACTAGCCAGCTGAAACGACCAGCATGCCTAGCTTGGCGAAGATCAGTCAAACCCCGCGTTCAACCTGATGCGCTCGGAAACATTGCGCAGGGGTCGGAAGGGGCCAATAAAAACCTGCATCATCCGAGAATCGAACTCGGGTCACAACGATGGCAACGTTGTATTCTACCACTAGACCAATGATGCGAACCGGTGAAGTAATTTCTCCCTCTCCCGCTCTCAAGATCGACTGTGAATCTACTGACTGAACACTAAAATTGTAGAATGCATCAAGTTGATTCCATAGATTCAACCCTTTAATAAGTGAATTCCGATGCGGGGACTCGAACCCCGGTCGCGTGGGTGAAAACCACGAATCCTAACCAGCTAGACTACATCGGAACTTCCGCACTCCAGCAGACCGCGGGTTCGATCCTCCCAAGCTCCATTGAATCGAATAATCGTCGCTAGCTAGAATCTAGCAGGACCGATTGACCACCGTGCAATTGGCCACCCGTGTGTCACCCAAAAACTCATTTTGACCCGCTTGACTTGTTGATCCTCCCTCAATCCCTTACTTTAGATGCAATGAGTTAAGGACAAGATAACGGTGACTCCGTCCCAAAAATGGTGAAGAAAAGTTATCCAATAACCTTTTCTATTCACGGTTATCCTGTGTCACCAATCACCACCAATTGCTTGTATGATAATACCATCAATTTCGGAAATAACCGCAAATGAGATGTATACGGAGTGATGCCTTTACACTGGCTCCAGCATTGGACTGATTACTGTGGTGACGAACATCTGGGAGGGGCTCAAGGTGCGGAAACCTCAGACTGGGAGCGTGCGCAGTTAACGTCTCCAA